GCACATCTGAAAATAACTGAATCTCAAAACTGAGTTAATGCATGTAATAACTTCTTTCCCCAAAGGAACAATTGCTGGACATTCTAGAAACACAAATTTGAGTAAAGCATTAATTTCATTGCCTCTTCAACAGCATAATCACTTACTCAGGCTTTTCTATATAAATGAAATAAAATCCTTTTAAAAGATACTATTAGGCTTCTTTAAATGTCTTCACTTAGTAATGGGCTATTGTGAAACAGACTGTTATGTTATGCATCTAATGGAGGTTTTCCGATCTTTCACAAGTGGAGTGGAGAACATCCACTTTGTCTGACCTGGTGATCTCTGCATCTAAATGAAGACCTCTGTTAGAGGACAACAATTCTGAGAAGATTTTCTCCAGCTGCCATTTTAAATTCTGCATCCCTTGGTTTTTGTCAACAGCTGCAAATCCCATAGAAATCTACCAATCTACTAAGGGTTCCTTCCCCAAACTATTTTCAGATGAATGTATATCTGAATGTATTGGGGAGAGGGGGCTTAGCAAACTCTAGCAATCATTCCTGGGATTTGACCCTTTAAATTTATGAATTAGCGCTTTAACAGTTGAAAGATTAATGAAAGCTTTAGCAGAAGGTTATTATAGCTCATTTATAATTCCACCATCGACCTTTTGCAAATGATATCAAAAATCCATTAAGCCATTAAAGCTACCTATTACAACAGGTTAATTTATGTAGCACTACTCACATTCATGGAATTCGGGAACATAAATGGAATACTCCTTTCGTGTATTATTTTCTGCATCTCAGATTGCTTGTCCTTTAATTCTGCTATGCTAAATATAGTGGCAAATATCTGCAGCTCTCTCGAGTGTAGGATGAGGGTGAAAGTTCGTTCTTGAAGCTTGAGGGTTGTTTTCCGAACATTTCATTACCAAGCTAGGTAACATCTTCAGTAGTGTTTAGGGAATGTCAGTGTCCTGTTTATGTAAGGGCTTCAGGTGTGGGAGTGTCAAGTGAGGGTCTTGTGATGGGCCTGGTGTGAGTCATCAGAGAAAGGCTTGTGATGGGGAGATACTTCAGGTCAGGGTCTTTGGAGGGTGTGAGTTAGTGGGTCAGGAGTGAGTTATCAGATTATGTCAAGTCAGGGTCATTGGAAGGTGAACTGCTGGGGGGGGGGGGAAAGATCAACCAGATCCAGGAATTATCTAGAACCAAAGACAAGACACAGAAGGATGAAAGAAGCAATGCCATCTACAAAACCAACTGTAATGATTGCAACCACTTCTACGTGGGACAAACATCACGTCAGCTAAAAATCAGGATCCATGAACATCAGCTAGCAGTCAAACGCCACAATCCCAAATCCCTAATTGCTACCCACACTGACACCAAACAACACCAGTTCGATTGGAGCAACACAAATCATCAGCCAAGCTCAGGAGTTCATCGAAGCACCTGGCACTCCACAAGCAATTCCATCCACAGACACATTGACCTAAAGCAGCATATGAACTCCTCAGAATCCAAATCAATTGAGCAGCCTTCTGGAGACAGCACCACCCTCAAGCCCCTCTCCCTCCCCATCAGTTCACCTTCCAATAACCCTGACTTGACAATCTCCCCATCACCATTACTAGCCTCCCACGGAAGACTCACTCCTGACCCACTAATTCACGCCCTCCAACGACCCTGACTTGAAGTATCTCCCCATCACAAGCTTCTGTCTGATGACTCGCCCCTGGTCCATCACAAGGCCCTCACTTGACACTCCCACACCTGAAGCCCTTATATAAACAGAACACTGACACTGACATCCCCTAAACCAGTGGTTCTCAACCTGTGGGTCGGGACCCCATTTGGGGTCAAATGACCATTTCACGGGGGTCGCCAAACAACGCAGTCCGCCATTTTTTCCCCTTTTCCTTAGCTGTGCTACTCCCTTTTATTCTATTGGCTTTTGAAAGCCATAGAATAGACTCTCTTGAATAGAGTCTAATTCTATTGGCTTTCAAAAGCCAATAGGAATTGTCCAGGCTGTCTCTGCCCTGCTGAGCCCGCCAAAAGTCCCATTCTGCAAACAGTACCGCAAGTTGTCTGCAGCGAAGGCGAGCTGTCTGGAAGTTTCCACCCCTCCCTGCTGAGCAACTACTAAAAATGTAAGTAAAAGAGGGCCAGGGGTGGGAGGTGGGAGGCCAGCAGGTGCAGGGAGGGTTGCTGGCGCGCGTGGGGCCCGGCGGGTGCCTTACCTCCCTTGGGCTGGGCATGCGCGGCGCTCTCGGGCAGGGAAAGTCCTCGACTTACGACCGGTTGAATAGTCCTCAACTTATGACCAGTTGGGTAGTCCTCGACTTACGACTGGTTGGCGGTTGCAGCATTAAAAAGGTTGAGAACCACTGCCCTAAACACTGCTGAAGATGTTACCTAGCCTGGTAACGAAATGTTTGGAAACCAACCCTCAAGCTTGGAGAATGAATCTTCACTCTATATTTAAAAAATTCCTGAAACAGAATCTCAAAATCTACTTTATCTGATTGGCCCTAAGATAGTTTTTTTTAAAGGTAATAAATGGCAATGTTTTTCCTACTGAAAATTTGCCCTTATTGCAGCTTGAAACTGACATATTTAAAAGAAAGGAGAAGGAAATAATGTATCTGAATGAAGGTTTGGTTTTGTGGAGTAGAACTGATGAAGTGATGCAGGGGTGTGAAGGTTTAAATATAATTATAATTGAAAGGACAAAATTGTATGCCAGAAAGTATGAATGTGTCACTGAGATTGTGCATGTGAAAGTGGGAATTCATATATTGGTGATAGTTGCATGTTATGTTCCAATGAATGGCAATGTAATAGTAACAGTAATAGAGTTGGAAAGGACCTTGGAGATCATCTAGTCCAACCCCCTGCTCTCACAGGAGATCTATATTATTTCTGAGAGATGGCTGTCCAGTTTCTTCTTAAAAGCCTTCAGTGTTGGGGCATCCATAATTTAACGGAAGAACAAGAGTTCTTTAAATTCCATTAAATTTGTAATGGAAGAACAAGAGTTGAATTCTGGAGAAATTATGCAACATTCTGAATGAATGGAATTCAATAAAATAATCATGTTGTTAGATGACATAAATGGGTAGATGGGAACACAGTGAGGGTCAGAAGAAAATAACTGGATCATTAGGAAAACCAAAAATGAATGAATAACAGAGATTATTTTGTAACTATATATTTTTTTTAAAAAAAGGTCTGTTTCTTCAACTGCATAAGGCAAGCATAAGCCTATACATAGATACTGTATGGCAGTGATGGCGAACCTTTTAGAGACCAAGTGCCCCAAAACAGGCCCTGCCCTGCCTCCCTGTCCGCCCCCGTTCTGTCCCTGCCCAGCCTGCCCGCAGGACCACTCACTGCCTCCATGGCCTGTTGCAGATCGCCCAGGCAACCCAGCAGCGCCATGGTGGCCATGCCCTCCACCCACGCCCCACAGCATCAACTGTGTGCGACAGGGCACAAGGACAGAGTCTTTGCAGCAAATATTAAAAAAATGTATAATCCAACAAGGAGTATGGATCTGAAAATTAATGTATCCAAGCACAAGATAGTGTGGTTGTGTTTGACAGGGAAAATGATGAGCAATTGCAAGTTGTATATAAATGGTGAAATTGTGTACTTTGGTAGAATGTTTATTAAAGATGAAAGAAATCAGTGGAAAAAAACTGAGGATGCACAAATGCTGGTAGAAAGATAGGAAGTAGTATGTATTTGTTGTGAGGAATACGTGGCAAAAAAGTGAAAATCTATGGATATAAGAGCAGGTTTCTGCCTATTTTATTACATGGAAGTGAGGGTATGTGTGGTCAAACATAAGCTGAATGTGGTGGACATAGAGTTGTTAAGAACTGTTTGTTGTCAAACAAGAGAGACAATCAGGAATCTGGGTCGGTCACTGGGACCAGAGGTTTAGACGTCTGAGCTTTTGGACTTGTGCCAGAGCCCATCCTCAGGGAATTTCTGGTGACTGACCCAGACTGGATCCTGCAACATTATCCTGGGACACGTTACGTATATTCGCCTTCATTTGTGAGAATCAAGAATGAATTGTGCCTATTGAACATTAATTGATATAGAAGAGCGATCAGTACAAAAGGAGTCTGTGTAGATGATTTAGTTATACGGAGAAAGTGAATGAAGAGCAAATTGCAAAATGTATATGTGAAGAAAGAGTGAATGGGTTGAGAAGAAGGGAAGACCAAAAAAAGGCATGATGGAATAGAATGAAAGTGAGCCTCAAAACAAAAGAAAACAAAAAAAAGGACAAAAAGTTTAAAGGACAAAATTAGTATTTTAAACAGTGTATGGACATGGTGAAAGAAAGGTTGTTTGCAAGGATCAAAAGGTATGGAGAGGTATAGTACAGTGATGGTGAACCTTTTAGACACTGAGTGCCCAAAAACTGCCCCCACCCCTGCGCCCCTGCCTTGCCTGCTTGCAGGGCCACCTACCACCTCCATGGCTCGCCACAGCAGATTGCCCATACGGCCCTGCAGCACCGTGGTGGCCATGCCCTCTGTCTGCGCCCCGCAGTATCATCTGTGTGCGACAGGGCATGAGGGTGGATTCTTGTCCCTGCTGCCTGGCTGAAATTTCCTTGGTTGCGCTGCTCCGTGTGAGCTGGGCCTGAGGGCGACTCTCCTCTGGGGGGCGCTGCTGGTGAAGAGGGGGCTGTGGGGAGGCGGGGCTGAGGTGACAGTGCACGTGCCCACAGAGAGGGCTCTGCGTGCCGCCTCTGGCATACGTGCCACAGGTTCACCACCACTGGTATAGTAAATGGTATCTGTGTGAACTGAATTTAGCTATTTCCTTTCCATTGTTTTTAATCATGTGCTTTTATTTTTCTTTTGCTTACTTCAGTATTTCTTACTCTTTATTCACAAAATGTCACCTATCATGCTGGGGAATAATGATGGTTGCATTATGCATGTTAAATATATCCTCACTTTTCAATTTTTTTTTAAATTGCAGCTCCTTTACTTATGAATCATTTGCCGTTCCTGCCTCCAAGACTGGATTCTGTTGACATGCAGTCTTCTAGAATTCCAGGCCGAAAAAGAGGAAGACCCCCACTCCATTCCAGCCCTATGAAAATGGCAGTTCATAATCTTTACTCTTCACCTCCTGGATCTTTGCCGGTTGTGAAGATCCCAAAGAAGCGAGGGAGAAAACCTGGGTATAAGGTATGATATTTTCTCCTTGTTTTTTTATTTTACTTTTTTTTTTTTTTTTTGGCCTTTGCTTAGATTCTGTCCTTGTGCAAAGCTTCATCAGAGCACTTTGTTCAGGGTATTATCAGAAGATGTAAAATCTTCTAGCTGGCTTGTCTAGATCTAGGGAAATTTGTAACAACCTGTTCTGGGGGAGCATGTCTATTGGGTTTTGTTAAGCCTTCCAAAAATTGTTGTATAGATGAAGTTACCTATTCTGTATGAACCACAATTAGTGGCTTAGGAAATGGCATAAAGATACTTCCCTCCACAGGACAATTTGCTGCTACTGCTGCTGAACAAGCTTTTCGCTTCTATGACCCCTGTGCCATTTGACTTTCTTTGGCAGCTGAGTTAGTTTACTTACCACTTAGCTGTGTAGGAGAAGAGGAATTGGTTTTCAGCTGCAGTAAAGGGGGGGGGGGGAGGGCTCTGGAATTTGGATGGAAGCTGCTTCCCCATTGAGGGAATTCATGCCTTAACCTTCTTCCGGAGATCTGAGGTTCAGCTGCCCTAGAAGACTGAATTGTGAAATGTTGGTTTGACAGCTCTGCATTTCTTCCTCAGTAATTCAGGTGAAACAAGCAGAGGTGAAGTTGACAACATACTGCACTTCTCTTTTTTCTTTGGCAAGTATCAGGCCAGATGTTAAGCAGCAAATTGCTTTGGTCTTCCTTCCTTCTCTGGGTAAAGTAAGGCATGAGGAATTTAGTTGTTATTGAAGTGTGTAACAGCTTGGGCAGTGCAATGTTCTTGGTTATTCTGATTAGTAGGAGTGATTGCAGGTCATTTGTGAAGGTTTTGAGGGATAGAGGAGTGGATAGTGATCGTGTACAAGTGCCATTAATCTCTTTGCATAGCATTGTTCACACTAATCATAAGCAGTTCTCTAGAGCTTCAGACAAATGGTGTTTTTTTTTCAGCTCCATTTGCCATGAAGTCATTTTGGGACTTTCTTACAACCAAACATTTCTTTGTTTTCTCTACAGTTCTCCTTCAGATTGCTGAAAAAGCAAAACACAACTTTAAACCAAATAAGAGTTCCTACATTTAACAATAACAACGCTATGGTTACAAATAAAGCTCTATTTCCTGACCAGATAGAAGAAATTACTTATTTTGAACTGTGGCCAAAAAAAGAAAAAAAAAAACAGAAAAGATTGAATGTTTTCATTCCAGGAATCAAGTTTTATAGACTATTTACTAATATATTGTATTAGAAGCTATAAAATAAGTTGTAATTTGCCAGGTCTCTGCACCAATCACACAATGTTTACAATATCAAAAATAGAGTGTTCTGCTTCTAGTTGCTTTGTGATTTCACCTTCACAAAGTCTGTTAGATCAGGGGGTCTCCAACCTTGGCAACTTTAAGGCTGAGGAATTCAGAGTTGAAGTCTACAAGTTTTAATGTTATCAAGGTTGGAGACCCCTAGTAGGTTACTAATGTATATGCATCCAATCTAGAAAGTGAGTCCAATCATGATCATGACTTGATCATTTTTAATCTTTAGGAAGCTTGCCAAGACTACAAGACTTTTACATGTGATATTAATTCTGTCTTTTTCATCTGGTTTTTATTGTGTCCTTTTAAAAAAAAACATTCTGAGCTATTATGAATTTCCAACAATTACCAGACGTAAAGATGACCAGAAAAAAAGAAAACATGTATGGATATTTATTTAGAGAATCAGTTTATGTGACCACCTGTGATATCTGGTAAATTTAATAACAGAACATTGATTTTAATGGTAAATCCAGACTTCAAAAACTGTGAGTTACTTCTAAACTAACTTCTCATTCCATTGTAGGAAGACTTTTTAATATATGGAGTCCTTGGTACTCTGTCAGTTTGGCTGCTTGTTTGCAGACATTTCATTACCTGATTAGGTAGCATTATCAGTGCTAGTGAAAGGGGAGTTTGCTACCTGTTTATATATAGTAGCTTGCTCTGCCAGTGTAGATGGAGTTATGTGTTTTTCCTTGGTAACTTCTTGATTAAAATATCTGCTTAGTTTTGTCTACTGATTGCCTCTTTGATAGCTTTTTGATTAGAATATTGCTTTCTGCTTGATTGTTTAGTATTAATCTCTGCTTATCTGCTATAACCACATACCCCACCTACAGTGGCAGGGCAAACCACTGTGTATATAAGCAGAGAACAAACCCCACAGTCATTATTACTGCTAATATTAGTCAGATAAGGAAATACCTAAAGGAAACCACCAAGTTCAGAGACCACCAAAAACTCCACAGTCCAACCCTGAGATACATATTTTTTTCTTCTATGGATACTTTTTAATATATGAAGATGCCTAAGGCTGAACAGTGGAACTTGTCTTTTATAGTATTATGGAGGCTGTAAGTTATTTTAGCACCTAAATCTTACTGAGCAGATTTTACAAAGCTCCTTGTTTATATGGATTTTTTTTTAAAAAAATGTAATTGGTACAACTTTTCTCTCTTACATTTTATAGCAACTAGAGTGGAAACTCAAGGAAAAATTGAGAGAGTGATAAATAGATAATTTCTTATTATTGGGTCAAAGTAATTCAGGCAAATACATTTATTATTATTAATAATAATAAGTCTGGATAGTGAATGTGGCAGTACGGGTGACAGCAGAATAGAAGAGAAAGAACTGGAGAAGATAACATTATAAAGACCTGAAAATAGAACTAGAACAACTATGGCAAAAGGAAGCAAAGGTAGTACCAGTAGTACTAGGTGCCTTAGACGCAATCCCAAAACAGCTGGAACACCACTTGAACATCGGTGGCATTGACAAAATCACCATCAGTCAATTGCAAAAGGCAGCTTTACTTGGAACAACTTACATCCTGCGGTGATACCTTTAACAACATCAACATCAACATCTGACTATCCCAGGTCCTTGGAAAGGACTCAGTAGGTGGATAAAAATGCCAGATCCAGACTGAACATCTGGCTGACTGCAACGAACCATAATTACTCTACATTCTGTGCTCTGGAGTGATACACAACAGGTTGTGACTTCTATATAGCATCCCTTTCAGGTTACTATTATTCTGCATTAGGACAGTGAAAATAATTATAAGAGGTATCTCTAGGGCATTTCAAGGCACTAGCAGTGAATTTAAACCTAGGCCATATTTTAAAACCAGTGTGAAATAGAAAAGGTTGATCCTGCTTGCTTAAAAATAATAAGCAGCTGACTGGATGAATCTTTTCTATGAAGGGACTCCATAGCTTTCACATTGCTCCTTGTTTATCAGCAAGGATGGATGCTACTCCTATACTACTTTAAAGGTTAAGAGATTCATGTAGAAGGAAGAGTCGCTTTCCATTCCCAAATCATTAAGAATGAGAGTTGTCCAGAGAATTAAACTGACAGCGGGAACTTCATTCAGTGGGTCCCAGGAGACATTTCTCTCTACTGTCATGCCCGCCTTATGGAAAATTCTTCCCCACGAAATTAGATTAGCTCCATCCCTTTTGATATTCTGAAAAGCCTTCAGGACTTGGCCATGTTGTCAGGCCTGGGACATCCAGGGAACCAGAGGTGGTTCAGGTGGTTCCATTGTTGAGGTGGCTATTTTTATTTTCTCTTTGCCTACCGTTTGTATATTTTGTATCCCAATATAAATATGAATGTTTATATTTTATATTTGTTTTTTTATCTGCTTGTTGTGAGCCCCTCTCTGAGTTACTTTCAGTGAGATGGGAAACAATTTAAATTTTATAAATAAATAAACAAATAAACAAATAAGCAAAAGAGCGTTCTCCTTTTGTGGTACAGGAAACAATGACCCTGGTGCTAGATTAAATTTTTTCATTTTTGTGGATTTATTTAGCTTAAGAGAAAACTCCAAAATACAATCACACAAGGAAAATGTAAATAATATTGTAAATAGTATTTAAATTATGATCATGTATTATGGTAAAGAATAGTTAGCCAGATTCAGACATCAAATCCTAAAGAAAATGTCATATATTTCATAATAAAAGCTTTTACATTTTAGTAAAATTGAACAGAACAGGGTGTCCTATTCTGACAAAATATATGATCTTGAATATTAGGACAATTAGAACAATGGAAAGACTTTTTGTGACCTAGTACATCCATCTTCTGAACTTGTTTTATTTTAACAAAGCTGCAAGGATTACCATAAAATTAATATTGGGGGACCTGCAAACATATGCTGCAGTAATGCTGGTATTTTTTTTAAATATAATCTCACAGATTCTTAAGACAGCGTTATTTGTATACAGCAGGAGTCCCCCACCTGTGGGCTGCAGCCCACTAGTGGGCTGTGAGGAGATTGCAACTGGGCCGTGGAATTGGCCAGCGCACATGCACATATCCTCTGCATGAACAGAGAGTGCATGTGCATGTGTGCTCCATTTGCATGAGTGGCAGGTGCGCATGCATGCCACTTGTACAAATGAAGCTGCGTGTAAGCGCATGCTTGCTGGTCGCTTGTGTGGAACCATCCCCTCTCCCTTCCCCCCCCCCAGATATGCAAAGCCATAAATGTGGGGGAACTCTGGTATACAGTATAGTCTAGGGGTAGGCAACCTTGGCTCTTTTATGACTCGTGGACTTCAACTCCCAGAATTCCTGAGCTAGCCATGCTGAGGGGAAAGGGAGAGGTTTCCAAGCTGAGCCATGCTGGCTCAGGAATTCTGGGAGTTGAAGTCCACAAGTCATAAAAGAGACAAAGTTGCCTACCCCTGGTATAGTCCAAGAGACATTTGTTTATCCTGTCCATAAGGATTTCTCTGGAAATTCTATCATCTAAAAAATAGTTTTTATATCTGGCTTGGATAATTCTTGGAGAAAAGCATCTCTGTCATAACAATAACTCTTTTGTATTGTATTGGAAACTCCTCTCTACATTATTTTGAGATATAGTGTTCATACTGAATACTATATTTAAGTGAATATACAGTACGTGGAAAGTGTTGAAATGAAGGAATGAATTCTTATCCCTA